ACAAACAAAAATACAAAATGAAAATAATGTATTCAAAATCAACCATGGGTGCAATACATTCACCTATTCAATGACTACAATTATGATCTTAAGTAACAGAAACACCATAGAAGATAAGGAATATGTAACTACCAAACACAATGGAGAGTTCTCATTTTCAGTTTCACTTTGTGTACATAAAGATTGCTGTGGGGCCACAAGAGAAGCTGGTAAACAAGGAGGACCCTAAGAGAGACATACATGGTCCCCTGGAGAAGGAGAAAGGGACAAGATCTCCTCAGCTAATTCGGAGCATGGGGGGAGGGGAGACGGAGTTAGAAGAAAGAGAAGGGGAGAAGAGGAGGAGAGAGTAGGACACAAGGGAGCAGGAAGATCTAGTCAGGGGAAGAATAGAGGAGAGCAAGAAAAGAGATACCATCTTAGAAGGAGCCATTATAGGTTTAAATAGAATTCTGGCACTAGGTAAATGTCCAGAGATCTACAAGGTTGACCCCAACTAACAATCTAAGCAATAGTCGAGATGCCCTTAAATGCCCTTCTCCGATAATGAGATTGATGACTATCTTATATGCCATCCTAGAGCCTTCATCCAGTAGCTGATGGAAGCAGAATCAGACACCCACAGCTAAACACTGAGCTGAACTCTGGAATCCAGTTGCAGAGAGGGAGGAGTGATGATCAAAGGGGTCAAGACCAGGCTGGAGAAATCTACAGAAACAGTTGACCTGAACAAGGAGTTTCTCATGGCCCCCAGACTGATGGGAAACTAGCATAGGACTGTTCCAGAACCCCAAAAATGAAGACGTCAGTTTGGAGGTCTGGACAATCAATGGGGCCACTGGTAGTGGATCAGTATTTACCCCTACTACACCAATGGACTTTGGGAGCGCACTCCACATTTGAGGGATACTCTCTCAGCTTAGACACACTTGGGCAGGGCCTAGGCCCTGCTCCAAGTATGACAGACTTTGAAGATCCCCATGGAAGGCCTCATCCTCCCTGGGGAGCAGAAATGGGTTGGAATAAAGGGTCGGTAGGGGGTAGGGGATAAGGGGAGGGAGAGGGAACTGAGATTGACATGTAAAACAAGATTGTTTCTAAGTTAAATTAAAAAAATATTAAAAAAAAAATGATTGCTGTGTGGAGTCCCAGCTCTGAGCTTAGTACCCAAATCCAAGACTCGGATCAATCCCACCCTATGTGTTTGTAGCACCACAGTGTGCTTGCTTAGCATGCCACATGGTGACCTTGTTAGACTGGCATGCTTTGTCAGCTTCTAGAATAATTCAATCATTGATTTCACCCTACCTGTAAAACAACTTCACATGGTTGGAAGAATTTTACCTCCACCTTGCACTTAGACTCTGTGTCACAGTTGAATGCCAAAAGGCCAGAAGCCTGCATGGGATTCACTGTTTCATTATTAACAATATTGTAGTTTTAAATTCATAAATTAAAGAATGACGATATTACCAAGTAGATATTTTTCTAAGTAAGGTCCTATATATGTGTGTGTCCAAATTTTCTATTACTCTGTGATAATTCTGTAATCTAATTAAATTAGTATGTCTAAATTGCAAATTAATAAAACTGTTGAGGTTATAAAGTTGTTCATTAAGAAAGCAATTCTCTTGCCACTTGGTTGGTTTGTTCTCTACACTAAACTGAGATGCCAGATGGCCAGAGGAAAGCATGTTAATATTATTTAAATAGTGATTCTTATTCCTTGAAATGCTTAAGAAGTTTAAGAAACTTCAATTAACATGTTGCATTGCATTGTATTTGGAAGAAATAATTTTTGAGCACTTTACTCTTATAATGTGCCTTTGGTATTCATGACTGAAAATGATATATTATAAACGAAGTCCTGTTTCATCTTCTACATTTATCTAGTTGCTGTGTGTGAACATGTGTGTATGTGTGTGTGTGTGTGTGTGTGTGTGTGTGTATAGGTATAAGTATGTGAGCCTGTGTGTGCATCACAGAACACATGTGGAATTCAGAGGAAAATTGTGGGAGTCAATTCTCTCCTTTTACCATTGGTTTCAGGAATCTAACTCAGGTCTTTAGGTTGAGTGGCAAGCACCTACCTTTACCTGATGAACCAGTACACTGGTCCAGCAACTCCATTTCTAGTCATTCAGTTTTAATAATCTAATATCATTCAATAGGTGTTAGAAACTACAATATCCTTCTTCATTTTCCGATTTTATTTTTAGACCTTTTTATTTTATTAGTTTTATGTTTCTGGCTGCCTTTGTTTTCTCATATTTCTGTATGTATCAATGCACATGTATACATAAATGACCTGAATCTACGGTTTTCCTTTGAGGATTTTTTTCTGCCTAAAATAAGGTTGTTCCTCCTCCTTTCCCAATACAGTCTATTATTCTAAATGCTGCGTGAATTCCACGTGCATTATGCAGCTTCTCTCAAGAGTACATCATGAAACCTTCTCTCCTAGCTTTGGATATCTTTAGATTTTAATATATTTTCATTAATTTATTATATATATACTTTTTCTTAGTAGTTTTAGAGTACTATACTGTTTAAATATGTTTAATTGATGTTCACAGTCAACTTAGCTTTAAACCTTGAGAACAGGATGTCTTCTGAAGTAATCTTTGTAAATTTAGTATCTAATATTGCTGTTTGAAAACAATAGTAGTAAATACAATAGAAATGAGCAGTGTGATTTAAAACAGCCACATCACATGAGGAATCCATAATGGATAATAATATTCAAATAAATATAACTATTAAATATAACTATTATGAAAATGTTTAGTATATACATTTGTTTTTTCAAGTGTTAAGGAGATGATAAATGGTAGATAGACGATAAATGATAGATGGATGATAGATAATTTTCTTATCCTAACATATGTATATATGCAAGTGATTTGTGTATCTGTTCCTCACTCTATGTGTGTATGTATGGGTGGGGGCATTGTGTTGCTATGTGTGACTGCTACAGCACAAGGACACCCTCCAGTCTTGATCCTCATTTTCCACCTTGTCCACCTGCCTCTGCCACCTGAGTGCTGGGATTAAAGGAGTGTGCCACCAACGCCCAGCCTAGAAAGTTTCTTTGTTGTTTTCTGTCTGCCTGTGTCATGCTAGCTGAACCATAAGCTTTCAAGGCATCCTCTGTCCCCACCTCCTATCACCCTGCAGGGATGCTATGAGGACACACCCACAGTACTGCATCTGGCTTTACTCAGTATTGGAGTATCCTCCAGCTTGCATGGCAAATATTTTACCCACTGACTTATCTCTTAAACCCCCAAGAGTGACTTGGAAAAGAGAAAAATATAATGACTTTATTTTCATTAGCCTATTACTACTTTTCAAAATTCATTCTATTTTGCCTTCTTATTACTAATGATAATGTAAGCTGGTAAGTTGCTGTCATTACAGTGTCTGCTTTCTGAGGAGGAACCCAGTGCTCATAGAATTATAATTTGATCATAAAGATTTGATCTGTATATATTAATCAGCTAAAGCCGCAGCCTAAAACAGTCTGAGTCTTCTAACCCTGTAAAATTCTGCTTTCTTACCCATCACTAATATGTTGCCAATCATTACTGCTTAAAAAAAAACAATATAGATAATTGAGTTTTTACAAAAATTAAAGAATCAAGTTAGGCAAAAAAAAAAAAAAAAGTCACGGATTTGGTTGTTAGATACAGAAACTGTCAAATGTTCTTAGCAAAGAGCTGAATGGTTTCCTAAATTATAGTCTTCATTTGTGTTTATTGGTCTGGGTGGGTAATGCAACCAGAACACTTCCAGTGCCTGGACTACATTCTGAGTATCATTGAAATCCATCAGGAGGTACCTTCTCTGAGAGGATCACCACCATCAGGCATGCATGCCAACCAACTCGCCACGTTTACACCCATACTATGTCTGGCCCCCTACACAGCTGATTGAACTGGGGGCACAGTGTGGCTATTAACTGGGAACTTGGTAATAATCATGCTTTAAAACTTGAGCTGGGTGTATTATTGTTGCTGTTTCGCCTCTGGATTTGGATTGAATACACGAAGAAAGGATTTTCACTAGCACACCAAGGCAAGTCAGAGGCATCGGAACCTAAGAGTGCCCTTTGAAAGCTGGGTAAGCGTCGGGCAGAAAGAGGAATGTGTGCAGTAGAGCTGAGTCATGTTAATATGGCATCAGTAAAGATTAAAGAAGCGCTGACACGGCAGAGGTGTATGAACTGCCATCACAATATAATTACCTTGACTCCAATAGCCCTTAGCCCCGGGCATGAAACAGCATTTTCTTTGACTGTTGTAAGATATAGACCCCATACTTCTTTCAGGGTACATATATATCTTGCCTGGCATAAATGGGCCTCTAAATTATTAAGAAACTTAGCTTAACCAAGACTTAGTCCCAGGCTTTTTACATTTTATCAAATAAGCTTATTCCAGAACTAACAGATGCCACCGGGAAAGACAAATTACAAATTTCAGCAGTGCTATTTTAAACCCAACTGGCCTGAGCTAGTGGAACAATCTACATGCTTCTAAAATCCTATCTCTTATCTCCATACCTAGTTTTCTGTTTCTTTGTTTCTAACTTCCTCCCCTTGAAGATTGATTACAGCATTTTCTGTAATTCGTTCTAGTTTGCTTATGCTCAAGGAGATAATCCCTTGAAATTTACATCAAATTTCCCCAATAATGGATGTGCTCTCATAATTTACCTGTCTTCTGTATGTTCTCTGATTTGTGAAACCCTTTAGAACCGAACCTTGCTCTTTAATGGACCAGACATGTGCTTTTAGCTGTACTAACCAGGACACATGTCATGTCACAATGGTTTCTGGAATCACCCCAGAAACCAAAGGTGCAAGTGGGAGATTGTGTGTGTGTGTTGTGATTCACAACACACAGTTATCGTCTTGATGGCTCTTTGTCTTTTGCAATGTAAGTGCTCCTGTCATTTTTTTTTTTTTTGTTTTTTTTTTTTTTTTTGTTGTTGTTGTTGTTTTGTTTTGTTTTTTCCTTGTAAGATACAGTAAAATGCACAATTTTTGTGTATGTGGGCAAAAAGTATCTTTTAACAAAAAAGTCAAAACACTGCTTCTTTTCAAAAATTCTCCAATTAATTCTGAATTTTAAATGACTGCTAAATTAAATGTTTCCTGTCGCACGTTAACAATAAGGGGCCTTCGATTGAAAGGAGCTCAGTGTAATCTTATTGAGCCAGTAGCCTTACGAATAAGAGGAAACATGTTTGAATCACAGGAGAGCACGGATGCTGGATGGGTCTGTAAAATGCTGTCTGTTGTGGTATCAGCTGACTGATGGCTGTGATTCTCAGAAGGACTCCAACAATATGCCTTCTAAAAGCTGGAGATTAATGCAACCATGGTGAACCACACAGCGACACTCTGGCAAAGAAAAAGGGTCAGGACTGGCAAGATGTGGCAGGTGTCAAAATAAAAGGTTAGGCTCTGTGCCTGGGGACCCATCTGTCAGATAAAACTATGATAAGGCAATTAATGTATTTGTTTATGTTGCTCATGACACACCATGCATTCCACAAAAATGGTCAGTTTAAACACTCTCAACAGTTTTCTGAAAATTAGACCATATGTAACCAGAAAATGTTCAAGATAAAAAAAAATGAGGGTTTATTAGATAAATGAGTAGTTTTTACAACCAAATCAAGTTAACGCGAAAATGTCTAGTCATCTATAGTAAAGAGCTAAAGCTGTTAACTATAACCTTTTCATAATGTAGAGTTTGCATTAGGGATGTTTGAAGTGGATGTTTATACTGCCAGATACCTGCTATAACACCTTAAAATTTCACCATGCTTTACATTCATGATACTGGATTGTAAGTTTATAATAAAATACATCACAGAGAATGTATGAGAAAATGAGAATTTCCAACCACAAGCTATGCACCCTGCATTTTCTTCAAATGTTTTGTTCACAACATTGTCATTATTAGGGTTTTCATTTTCACTCTGTGAGTAATTCTGACTCCTGTCATTGTATTTATTATTTATTTAGTTTTCTCACGACATCTGCTTTACAATCTGTTTAAACTAGAACATGTCTAGATTTAATATTCATCAGTGATGTATTTCTTGCAGATAAAAAATTATCACATGCTTTTTAAATGCCCTATTATTTTACAGGTCAAAAATATAAAAGAACTTACCTGGAATTGTGAAAGAAATAAGTTGTTTTCTTTTCCAGCTCAAAATTTCAGGTAAAAATTGATTTTCTCATTACTTTTTACTGTGGAATTTTTTAAAAAATGCTCTCAGTTATTGTTTCAATACATTATTCTTGCAATGATGTTACATTTTGAAGAGAAGAAACTGGCTCATGAACTGCATAATAGGCTATGCAGAAGAGTCAACGCCTTTAATTTCCGAGGAAAAGCCAGATATGGCTCTCCTGTTCTCACGCTGCATGTTCTCACAGAGTGATGGTGTTAGCATTCACTGTGACAACAGAGAGAAGCATTTGAAAAACAGAGTTCCTGTGTTCAATAGATTTATTTTCATTTTGTTCAGACAGGATTTACCCCACTATCACTACTTCCCATCTATGAGAAACGTTTTGGTTAAACTTTAAGGCAATGATTTTTCTCACCAGGACAACTTTCCAGCACAAAGCATGTCACAATCTTCTATTTTCTAACATCTCACACTGAAGCATGGCTTCAATGGAGCAACAGGGATATCAGGGTGGAAGCCAAGGAAGGAAAGGTCAGTGGAGACTCAAGACACAGACTTTATTATACAGTTTTTCCAGAAGTCTGATGGAAGACTTACAAATTATGTTTGTAGTCCAACTACAACTAACTACTATTTAAAATTGAATTCACTCCTGCCTGCATTTCCTGTCTTAGAGCTTTATACCGTTGCTTTAATTTTATTTGAATTTCAGTCTTCTGAATTATTCCTGTTTCCTATCTATGTATCTTGATTTGCCTGGATATAGTTAAAAATACACTAGGGCAAAATGAAATTCTTAGTCACCATTCTATATAACTCTTCAAAATTCTAAGATGTGTAAAATTACCAAGCTGTGATCAGCTAAGTTAACTTGCTACTTTCTGTGTACCATAAAAGTAACAATCTCAACAGAGATTTCACATCTGCATTAAAAGACACATCAAACAAAAGGTAAGATGATTTTTAACTTCTTTACAGAAGGGACTGTCCATTGTAAATGACCAATTTCACAGCACATATTCTATCTTTACATGGGAAGAAAATAAATGATGAGGTTCTTTTTATTTTAAAATGATTTAATTTCTACTTTCACTTTTCTGCAGCAGTGTAAAAGAGCAATATTGCTGGGTATCCACTTCAGCCATTTGAAGACATTATGAGGACTCTGGTGGGGATCTTGACCCCTCTTTGCTCTGAGACAGTGCAAACCTGCCTCTATTTTAGTCACAGGTAAGTTTTTATGACTAGTTCCCTGACAGATCAGCTATACATACTAAGTCACAAAACTGCTTCTCTTATTGCTTTACACTAAATACATGCATTGTTATTTGGGAAAAAATGTTATTCATTAACCATGGTAACAGTAAACAGTGCCTATTTGTATTTTGATTATTTTAACAAATAAATAAAATTCTCATTATAAGTTGTGCTATGTAAAGAAAGTATCCACAATCAGTTTTGTTTTTTTATTCTGAAAAAAAAATGTTATTTCTTTCAGAAAATCTACTGCAAATCGATTACAGTGTGTCTGTCCCCCAATGTCAGATGTTCTTTTTCTTAGCCTCCCATGCTTCTGGATATCATCTGTCATAGGCATTATGTTTCTGGCCAAACACTTGTATTTGTTTCTCTAGTAGTCTATGGTTTTAGGGATTTTTTTTTTTAATCCATGGAGCATTTGTTCAATATTAGGTAAGTAACACTTTACCTCCATTTCCGGGTGATGAAACTCTGGTACATTGAGGGTAAATCACTCTTAAAATATGAACCTCTCTTATTTTAGCAGTAAGGATTCTATGCATCTACTTACTGCCTAGGTGCTGAGGGAAAGTTGAGAGTTGTGTGACATGTAAGAAAAATAAACACATGCGTATACAGAGAGAATTAGAAAGGGAGAACCATGGGATTGGCTGAAGAACAAGCACAAAGATTTTAAGATGAAGTGAGACAGCAAAATATGAATAAGAGACAGCACCAAGTGGCTCAGTTTTGTTTCTTATTGCTGTGATAAAATACTCTGCTCCAGCCTTCTTGGAGGAGAAAGACTGTCTTACAGTTCAGGGTTCAAAGCACAGTCCATCATGGTGGGGGAGTCAGACAGCAGGAACCTGAACGAGCTGGAAACCTCACCATTACATTACAAAGAGAGCAATGAGCACATGGTGCATGCATTCAGCTAGCTTTCTCAGAGATTACCTGCCTGAGAATGGTACCACCCACAGAGGTAGGTCTTTACCCTTTAATTAACTTAATCAAGATAATCCCCCACAGGTGTATCCAGAGGCCAATCTCCCAGGTGATTCAAGATTTTTGTCAAACTGACAACATGAATCACTACACTATGGAAACTTACAAAAGCCTTATGATAATGATGAAGGGGAGTGGAAAAAGGGAAGTCTTGAGAAACAATGCATACATGGGTGTCCGGACCTTTAGCATAATATGGTTAACTCTGAAATAATGTTTCCAGCATGGGATTAATTTTCAAGATGGAATAAAGAGGCGCATCTGTCTTTTATTCAAGTTGTTACACTTCATAGTGGGAGTGGTTTAGCATGTCAGGAAGACATCATACAATGACTTGGAAGATGAACTTTGTAGACAACTAGGAGCCTGAATGTAATCTTGGCAGGAGTCTCAGAGCTACCTTTCACTCTAGCAGAAGAGGGGGCTGTGTGCATCTCCCTGACATCGTATCCAGTAACATCCAGCCGAGGATCCCACACAGCCAAGATGATTTAGAGGACATGAAGGATGGACAATCCTAGATTAGGCAAATCAGGGCTCTAGTCCTTCTCTGTTATTTCGGCAGCAAACTGCTGGAGGCTGACAGCATCCCTAGCCCTTACAAGTCTTCCTTTTTTATTTTCACTAGAAAAGAAACAAATAGAATGAAAGTACTCTGTGTACGATGCTGCAGATCTTTCAATAGATGGTGTATTTCAGGTTTCCTTTATGTAGCAAACATCAGTATCATAACTCTTGTAATTTAATTCAGCGTGTTCTACAGAACAGCGAACACTTTTGCAATTCTAATGCACTAGAAAGCATTTCAATTAGTTCATCACAATTCCAAGGGAAGACGATTTGTAAAAATCTTTTTAATGGCTTCACAGGTGAGATGCTTTCCTTTATTATTAGAAGGTTCCAAAGACAACATACAATTACTAATATTTGTCTATTAAATTCTTATGTATATATATATATATATACATATATACAACTAGAATTTCTATATATTCTATAAATGTGTGTGTATGTATATATAAGCAAAAATTAGAGACCATGGAGAAATGCTCTTTACTGGTTTAATCTCCACTGCTTGATCAGCTTGCTTTCTTTTGTTTAGAATTATTTTATTTTTTAAGTTTCGTTTTATATTCCCACCTCAGTTCTCCCTCCCGTCTCTCCTCTTGCCCCCTTGCTTCCATCCAGCCCCCTACCCCCAACTTCTACAACCCCATCCCCACCCCCACACAAGCCCATTCCTCCTCAAAGGTAAGGGCTCCCATGAGGAGTCAACAAGTCTGGCACATTAAGTTGAGGTAGGAACAAGCCCCTCGTCCATACATTAAGGCTGAGCGTGGTATCCCACCACAGGGAATGGGCTCCAACATCAGTTTGCTTTCTTAAGCAACCCAAGACCAACTTACTCTGGGTGGCATTAACCACCATGCCATGAACCGCCTCACATTACTCTCTCATCAAGAATATCCCCCCCCAACAGCTTTTCCTACAAGCAATCTGATGGACACAATTTCTCAGTTGAAGTTCTCTTTTCCCTTAAAACTCTAGTTTGTGAAAAATTTAAAGACATTAACCATCAACACACACACACACACACACACACACACACACACACACACACTGGTTGGACTGGTTGGTATTTTAAGTGCCCTTCAAAATTAGGGTAAATCTGTGACTTCAGTTCTTCATTACATTCCTTGGTAAGTTAGTATGAGGTCTGGTGCTACTTGTATGCCCTGCTGTTCAGGAAGCACTAATAGAATATTCTAAGCAAGAGGCCATTGTATCTATCATGATGATAGGCAGTATGTACAATGTAAACCATTAAAGGTAGTCTCTGCAGAATATCAGGAATGTAAGTAAAGATGAAACCATCAGTAAATAAGCCTACTGACTTGCCTAGCTAAAACCTCTTTCATCTACGTAGTCTTCAACAGAGATTATTTGTTCTTTGGATGCTTCTTTCTATTTCTGCATCTAGGAATGCAGGTTACTTAACAAACTTTGTGTGACTGTTTACAAAAGTGAAAAGATCTCTCTCTCTCTCTCTCTCTCTCTCTCTCTCTCTCTCTCTCTCTCTCTGTGTGTGTGTGTGTCTTTTGACATATGCTACTCCATACCACACCCCTCAACCCCTCACTGCCACTTCTGTCTGGGCTTTGACAATTGCCACACTTTGTCCAATATCACTTTAGCCAGCATGACTAAGGGAGATACTTGTCAAGGCTGCCATATTTACCATCCGAAGAACACTATTTAAAAGAAGCTTGAGCTACTTTCCAGGAAACAGAAGGGATCTCACAGGAGAGGGATGTCATGTCAGCTAAGGGCCATGGACCAAATACTAAGATGACTTTGTATATTAATACTCACATACCACCCAAAGACTCATGAGAATAGGCAATACAATTGTTTTAAAAACAGGAATTGGCATATAGCTCATGGAACAAACCCTAGTCATAAGCTATTTTTAAAAATGCAGAATCTGGGATAACATAGATACATATATTAATTTACATGTTTTCTAAGACTGTTTTCACATTGCACAAAAGAGGTAGAATTGAATAATTAGAGACTCCATGGCATGAAGAGCCTAAAAACATTGTTCTTTTAACAGGGAAAACTGTGAAATCTTGCTTTAAGTCTAAGAGGTAAGGTGATTTGTTGGGCAGCAATAAATTACACAGACATTTGCCCAAAGGGAACGTGCCTCATTCCTTATTAAACCAATAAATTCCTATGCTTGTGAAAAACTACATATGCATTGGCAGAGCCAATAACCCCTTCTGTAGATGAAGCTTATTGTTCAGCTTGCATTTCTAAAGTATGGTTATGCAGATGGCTAGTTGAACACCAGCATCTGCTACTTATTCATCATAGCAATGGGGCTGGGCACAAGGCTACTCTTTCAGAATTGTATATCTGACTCCCTATGTTTTATGTGACCCCAAGTTTGTTATTTCCCTTTCTGAAATAAGAAGGGAAGAGATGCCAGCACTTCTCAGGTTTCCTCTCTACCTTTCTTCCTCTTCCAAATAATAGGAAGCCAAAGTCACTTGATTCACCATCCTAATAGGTATAATATGCTAAAGAAGGAGGAAGAAATGAAAACTCTTCAATGTAAGCCAACTTTTTCACTTTCTAGAACTCCATGGAGCAGGAGTTCTAACAACTTGGAATACTCATGTTGATCTACAAATTAGAGAGAAATGAAGTTGAATCTTCTCTAAGGTCCCAAATGGCCGTTGGGTATCATGGTTCAGCAAGCTGGCCATCTCCTAACTAAGGTAACAGCTTTATTTAAAAAAAAAAAAAAAGTTTTGGCACCAAATTGATTTAGCTGATAAGACATTGGAGAGTTGGCTCCAAACTCTAAGTGACTTTGATAAACTTTGCCCCAATTTTGTTAGTTGGCCAGAGGCAAACCATTTACAGTAACCATACTTTTCTCTTCCTAGATAAAAATATGCAACTCCAGACAGATGAAGCAGGAATTTTGAACACTGACCTTTCTAATTCCTGTTTCTCCCAAGTCAGAGGGCTGCAGTAACTGGCGATTGCCCTAGGCATGTGTCATTTTAGTTCCCAGAAATGCTTGTGCACCAACATAATGCCTTAGGTGATGCAATAGGGGTATAATCAAGGTGAGCCTTTGCCATGCAGGCAGCTGAAAAGCATATACAGTGAATTTTTTAGGCAATAAGCAGAAAATTAAGGAAGATAATTTTAGTTACATTGTGAATCCATAAACAGTGATTGCAGTCAATATGGGTCAATGGGGGCAACTTTGAAGTATGCACACTTGAGGACAGTCCCTATTTCTCCAGCAATTGTTTCCCTAAGACTGGGGGGTGAAGCCTATCAACTCATAGATGACACTAACCTACTCAATTCTGAGAGTGACCTATCCTTAGAAAACCAAGTTTACACCAGACTTAATATCTAGAGGTTAAGACCCTGTTATAGAAATTCTTGAAATCTAAATGCACAAATATGTTCTGGAGAAAAACAAAACAAAACAAAAAGCCAAAACAACAACAACAAAAACCAACTACCCAACCAATCAAAAAACAACAATCAAAACAGTAAAACCCTTAGTTTAATTTCCAGATGAAATACATTTAAGAAATATTCTTCCCAGAGTAATTTTGTTCAAAGTAAAGAATTCCCAAACACAACTGTAAAAATGGGAGCTGGCTTGTGGTACTTGGGGACTGCCTACTCATCTGTCAATGCACTTTTAAGAGTAACTTCTGGTGGAAACTGTATCAACTGTTCTTGTTACAGACCATCTCAGATTCTGTAATTTCTGGACAGGACAAGTAGCATAATAGTCTTAGTTATCTAAGTGCCTGCTTTCCCTGCTTGCCTAAATGCTGTGTAAGGGAAGAAAAACATATTTTTCTTGATCACCAAAATATTCCCAGGTCTGGCTAAGACAGTAAGAACAGCCCAGGTCCTTAAGAAATACTTACTAAAGAATTAGATCCCTGGGGTGGTGGTGGGGAGGGTAGACAACTAATTGAATTTTACCAGCATCTAAAAATGGGCATGAATGTGATGAGCCCTCTACAAGATGAGCTTGTAAGGAGCAGGAGCAGATAATGACTTAAGCAACATTGAGCAAGAGGTGTTTTCAAAAGACAGTATTGGGCCATGCCCATTATAGATATTATAGACAGAAGAAATATGAGGGAAACGTAGATTTGGGTGCAGGGCCAAAGACTGGCAAGGAAAATTCAATTCAGACCAGACTCCCTATAAGGACATACGCAGCTTTGGGAAAGGAAATCAGAATCCATTTTGGTTTTCTATACCATAATATAGTTCCTATGGTAATCCTTCCATGCTACTAAATTTTCTTTTAGATAGCTTTAAGGGTGCCTATTCATGTACAAGAGCGCTGGTGTTTAGATACCCTCCTTATCAAGGCAGTAATATTCCCAGGTACTAAAGTCAGGAAACAGAACAAATAAAAATAATCAACTTAAAGTGGAACCCATTTCTCTATGATTATGTTGAAGTTTTAAGTAAAATGCATTGTTAGGGGCTGATGCACTCCAGAAGTGAGGAAAAACAAGCAAAGCAAAGGCAAGACCCCAACACACTGGAGGGAAACTGGAGGAAATGTGACAGAAAACTGTCACATGTGCTCTGTGCCACAGAGGAACACATCTGTGTCATTCCGCAATGTCAGAACTTATTGAATAACAATAAATTCACAAGGGTCAGTAGTTTCAAGGACAGTAATTTGCTATATAATCCCACTACCTTGGTAGTCTGTCTAAGACAAATAAAGACTCTCTTATTTGAACCTTAATTATTAACGATAAATCGTATATCATGCATCACACAGCACACAGTGAGTGTGAAAATATATCTATAAACAAATGTGGTTTACAGAATGAATATAAGTTGAAGAGGCTGCATCAGCATTCAACAGGTCCTAGAAGTAGGCTGACAGAAATGTTAATAGAGTCTTTATTGATAAGATAACTAAGAATTCAGGTCAGGGTAACAGATTGGTGTGAGAGCCTGCCATCATAGTGTCAGATGCCCATCATTTCATGGGGTTCATAGGAAGGAAACACAGCTTTTCTATGGTCTAATGAGTCTTATGAGTTCTTATGTCTAGTTTTCCTGTTATGATTTTAAAATGCCCATGGGCCCTCAAAATCTCAGTTTACCCCAATGATCTTAAAATGTAGCATCCTTTCTATTACAAGGAGTAGGTTGTCTATCACTTGGAACTAGATGGGTGCACCCAGCAAATACTCTGAGTTATAGATACACCCATTGGTCACAGTCATCTGCCTTTAAAATGGAGTGAATAACTGTTTGCAAAATAGCCTCTTAGGTCAAGGTACAGCCTGAAAATCCCCTGTTTTATTCAATATGAAGTAACTAAGACTGGGGGCAAACCTGATCTCAACAAAACTAAAAGGGGTAAGAACCAACCTGACTGGAAAAAAATCACTTAACCTCTCTCTACCTCTTTTAGGGTAAGAACCAACCTGACTGGAAAAAAATCACTTAACCTCTCTCTACCTGGATATCATTAGTAAAATTAGGATGAAATAATTTATAAGGTTGCTATTAACGTTAAAATTTTCATGAGCAGCGAGGCTTTAGGAACATGATGTCTTCAGCAGAAAACACCACTGTTTTTCAATATGCCTTTTACATATAATGGAAGCAAGTTAAAATAATAGGTCTCACAAAGCCATTAAATATTTACTGGTCACTCTCTTGATGACCATTCTGATTCATTACATAGTGTATATAAATCATCGATATTTTCAAATTACAAACAGCTCAGGAAGGAATTTTGCAGCTCCTGCCGTGGCCTTGATGGAAAATATGAATTACCTCCTTTGTGGGGGTGTTTTTAAGTTATCATTTGTTAAGAGCACTAAGAATCTAAGTAAGATACTACATATGTATGATAAGTGCAAGTTATTGCATATGTATGATAGGTTTATTATAATAATTTTCCTTGAATTGCAAATTGTGCCACATAGTTCATTTTACCTTTTCTGGGAGTCTCCCTGATTATTTTTAAAATATGGGTATCCAGGAACAACCAAATTCAAACAGAGAAGAGATGTTCTCTGTGTCTCATGATATGCCATTAGTGAAAGTAAAATATGTTAGTTCTCTTGTGGGAAATATAATTAAAGATAAAGGGAGATGTGGGCAGGATGTCACTTTTTTATAAATATCACAACACTATTTTATGATTCTACACATTCTTCTTTTTTTAACTGAGTTATATGTCCCTACTACTGCTTTTTCTTTTCCCTAAAGTGTCATTGCTTATTTTTCTGTATACTGGGGTGCAACCTTCACATTTTGCAATTTCTCCAAATGCTCCTGGAATAGTTGTCTGTACCAGGTGTTGCAGAGCCAAGAACCATCCATTGATAAGTTTTTCAATATTGTATCCAACACTCCCTTCCCAAACTTGCTTTCAAACCTGTCACAGATCCTTGCCCTCCTAAGATCACCATTACCTACCCTAATTCATTCCCACTCCCTCTTTCTTATGCAAATGAACATGCCCAGGCCCCCTGCCTTCTAGGAATGCCAGACACTTCTAGGAAGCTAGGAAGCATTTTTTCCAAACTTTTTTTTTTCTCATCCTGTTTTTGAAACTATGTCTGTTTTTGAAATTCAGAAAATGTGGCAGTCAGGTAATAAGTAAATCTGTCAGGGTTCTCAAACTGATACATGACAAATGAAGTCAGGATCTGTTTGGAAGCAGCTAATAATGATTATGTTATATCTTAGGGCATGTGTACATTTGAAATGCAGATGGTGTGCAGAATACAGCTGAATGTGGCATTAAAACAAGTTTCTCACCATCCTTTAGTTCTCTAAGTTGGCCTATTATAATAGAGCTCTGGTCACAAACTATACGATTAGTTTGCAGGGGTGTTTTTTTTTTTTATATATATATAGGTGCTAGCAGGTAATTCAAATACAAATATTCAAATGCCATCTAATGATGCTGGCATTCCTAGGCATTGAGAATACCTACCACTACGTTCGCCAGATGTTGAAAATTACCTTTGCACGGCTGAACACAATCTCTAGACAATATTAGTATTCAAATTTATTCAATTTAAGATAAAGTTCCTAGTGTGCATAAAACTACCTTAATTTGTTGCATGAAATATATAAACTAGTTCGGATTTTAGTTTCTGAGACAACTCCATACTGATTTCCATTGTAGCTGGACTAATTGCATTACAAAACCTTTCCCCCCATTTCTATTTGTGTTTTTATTTGTGTTTGTATATATTTTATGTGAATACACCCACATTCTGCAGGTGCTTTGGGAGTCCAGAAGAGGGTGTCAGATCACCTGGATCACCTGTGGATGTGAGCAGCCCAACTTTAATCCACCAGACCAGCAGCTGGGAAGAACTCTTCATTTTCTGTCCTGGGAAATAGTAGCTTAAAAATACTGTCCCTCTTGGAAGCAAAAAGAACTTTGTTGTTTTAACTATTTATAATTATGCAGTTTACTGTTTTGTCTGACTTCTTTTACAAAATATTTATCTTTGGTTATTATCCATATTCAGAACTTACAGTATTAAACATCATCATTAGCTTTCTGCAATTGACTCGCTCCTTCTACTATCAATGAAAATTGGCTCTTGCCCTATCCCCCAGCTTTTGGTTAAAATGAATACTGTTTTTATAATAATAAATGCATATGTGTTTTGTATACATGCATATGAGGACATGTATTAATTTCTGCTGGATATGTACAGAATGTAATTGTCCATGTGTTGCTTTAATACACCTGCTGAGTGATTCTTTAAACTCCTCTGTCCAGTTTGTATTCTGTTAGCACTGGGCTGGGTTCAACTGCACTCAGCCACACCAATACTGGAGCTGTCTGGTGTCTCTTTACTCTACTCTAGTAGGTTAGTAGAGGCCTCAATCTGTTTCTCACTTACATTTAATTGGTGAACGAAGTAATTGGGGAAATTAATCACAGCCGTTGGTCTTTTGGGCATGCACATTTGTCAACAGTCCATTAAAGTCCTATACCAAGTTTTCTACTGGACTGTATCATTTTTATATTGATTTGAAATGTTCTTAATATAGCCTAGATGAATTAGGATACTATTGATTTTATATATGTGTATGCCATTTTCTAATATATTTTGATTTTAATTCTATCTATGATGGTTTAGTCACCAAATACTCTTTAATTTTTTAAAGTTTATTCATTGCTATTGCATATTTCTGTGATGGGTGTGTGTGTGTATTCTTGTGCAAGCCAGGCTACATGTGTGCAGGTCAGAGGACAATATTCAGGAGTTGATTCATTGACTGTGCATCTCAGAGACTGAACTTAGCTTGTCAGGTTTGTGCAGCAAGCACTGATTTCCACTGAGCCATTTTCACAGCCAAACACTCTTCAAATTGGCATAGTAAAGCTTATTAACTGAACTGCAATGCTGCTCAATTTATCATTTTCTCTTTAATGTAATGTTAATGATATATACTGATTAATAAATAATTGACACTTTCCAAAATATTTAATTTCCTTATTGATTTTTATGAATTTAAAGCCTTGTTCTATGCTATTAGAATTTTAATTGTGTGTGTGTGTGTTTGTGTGTGTGTGTTTATCCAATGAAAAAACTTCCTTGCATTCCCACCTCCCAAGTTGTGTGGCCACATGAATGTAGGATATTATTGAGTTCACACTGGTTCCTTTGGTATATTGCATTTTCAAAACTATACTGTTTTATTGATCATATCTTGCTAATAACTGATAAAGTCATTCTTCTATAAGACAATTAACTATTCTTTAAAAACATTTGAAATTACATTTATTGTGTGTCAAGAGCATTTGTGTCACAATACATTTGAGGAGAATATTAGGACAACATGTGGCAGAAAGTTCTCTCCTTTTATCACATGGGTCCTGGAAATGAAATCTATGTCCAAAACCATGGTAACAAGTGCCTCTACCTACTGAGTCATTTTGCTGACCTTATGCTCCTGACTATTCTTAAAACTCTGCAACTAAGTACAATATTTTAATGTACTCATCAATTTTCAAATGAAGATTTCATCTGTTTTCTAAATACTAAAATGTTTTATGATTGGTTCTTGAGCTTTTTAATTTGTTCATGTGACAAGTTTTCTTATTCTTTTTTATGTTAATGTTGGCTATTTGTATTCTTTTATTGCTAAAACCCTGTTATAATTCACAGACTAAAACTGATCCATTTTAATGTACTGTTTTATTTAGTTTGCTAATATTTTGGTCATCTGTATTCATGAAATTGGTTCATTTGTGATTTTAATTTTTTGTAATAATTTTGCCAGATTTTACATAAACCAACTATTGAATAGGAATTGTTTCCTCTAATTATTTTCACTATTTTCTCATGGGATTTGTGTAGAAATGCTGTCATTTTTTCCTAAGTACTTAAAAAGCTTCTTGATGGATTCAGTTGAAATACTGTTTCCCTAGGAAAATTTTTTATTTTCACTTTTTTATTATTTTGTTTTTTGTTTTTCAAGACAGGGTTTCTATGTAGCTTTGGAGCCTGTCCTGGAACTTGCTCTGTACACCAGGCCTCAAACTCACAGAGATCTGCCTGCCTCTGCCTCGTGAGTGCTGGGATTAAAGGCGTATGCCACTACCGCCTGGCAAAACTTTTTAAAAATTAACTTATTTCAAAAGCAGATATGACATTCTTCAAATATCTATATATTTTGAAGGTTTTATAATTTTAACCAGTTCATTTTACCATATATCAAAACATTCATATGAAGCCATTTAATATATCTATAATTTTTGTTTGTCAGTAAGACTAATAGTTATGTCCTTATTTTTGTTTCTTATATTGATAAACAGGTTTTATTTTATTTATTTGACTAAACCTGTAAGTAGTTAGCAATATTATTATCCAAAACCAGAACTTTGTGCATTGTTCCATGTATATATAATGTGTGTGCTTTGTATTTCACTGACTTATGCCCTTTATTTTTTTATGTCAATCTATTTGTGTGAGTATTTAATGTGCTGCTCATTTTTCCAGGAGAATTCTTGAGATGGAAGTTTAGATGTTGATTATCAACCTCCCTCTTCTCTAACAGGAGAATTTAAAACTCTCTAAAGAACATGACTTTATTTCCATTCCATTTTTTTTTCTTACGAAATTTTATTTATATTAAAAACAACCATTTAAAAAAATTAAAATTAGTAACAAGCTTGCTTCACATGTCAATCCCAGCTCCTTCTCCTTCCCCACCTCCCCCATCCCCAAACCCTCACCTCATTCCCCCCCCTCTCCCCAGGGAGGGTGAGGCCCTCCATGAGGATCCCCAAAGTCTGTCATATCATCCCAGGCAGGGCCTAGGCCCTCCCCCATGTGTCCAGACTTAGAGAGCTTCCCTCCATATGGATTCCATTCCGTTTTTTTTATCTGCTGTATTGGTGCTTTATACATAGGCCATTTAACCTCCATTGACTTTTTCTCATGTTATTGGAGAGTAAATAGCTTAATTTTCAGAGGTTGGAAATTTCTAGTTATTTATCCTATTATTTTTTAAATTTATATCTGTAGTAGTTAGAAGTCTAGTCTCTGTATTACTATTTGGAATCTGTTAAGTTTCATTTTTGGTATGGGTTCCTTATTAATCTAAAGATTATACTATTTAGTCAGGTTTGTATGCCAACATATGCCAGTGAGTCATTGGTTGTGTTGTATAAATCCTGCATATTCTTAGGATTTTTGCTTTGTTCATTTTTTTTTTCTATCACCCCTCAATAGAAACTAGTTGAATTTTCTGCAATGTCTTTGGAATTATTTGTTTTTCTGTTGCCCTTTACCTATCATTTATCTATATTTTCTATCTATGTATTATCTCTAATCCATCTGTTTATATGTGATCTGTTTATTACTTACCTATATTCTATTCACCATTGGTTTATATCTCTATCATCTATCACTCTATCATAGATATTGCAAGTTATTGGATAAAAACAACAATTTTGACCTTATATGCTGTTGTTGGTTTTGTCTTTTATTAAAGTGAAATATTGTTAGTTACAGACATTTCCCAGTTTTAGAACCCAACTCTTTTTTAATCTAACTTCTTTTTCAACATGTTTAGATGGATTGCCTAATATAGTCACATATATATGTGCATGCACAAGCACACACACTCTCATACTAATATGTGTAATGTATGTAATGATTGTAAAAAGGAAGAAGTCCTGAAAGGGTACATAGAACATACTAGAAAAGTAGCAACATTCTCCTTTCTTTTTTTTAGTTTCTTTGTTGATATGTTTTTTTGAGAAAAGATTAGTGTCCTAAATGATCTAAAAGTCAATATGCCTCTCACCATGGCCTTGAACCACCGATTTTCTCATTTCAGCCTTCAAAATGCTGAAATATACCAGCATGCCCAGCAATTCTCTACTCTGTATCCAAGATTGTTTTATGTTGATTTTGATTTTGTTACTATAAGAAATTAACATATGGATTACTGTATTGACAGGTGCCTATTGTGGGCTGGGTTGTGTACCTACTAAACAATGAGAGTCCTGGTCCAAGGGAGTAATCTGACAGACACTGCTGTCTTCTTGTGTAAGCACAGGATTACTTTTCTTCTTGGGATCATATCCCCATTCATACATAATGCCAAGGATTAGCATCTTTCTTTTTTATTGGCTTGCCTTTTTTTTCTGCAGTTTATCTCTTTTAATGATCTTTTGGAGAGCTAGAGTTTAAATTTATCACTCAATTGTTCTCTCGTTTATAAATTATTGATCTCCAATTGTATCTTTATTAATTCATCCCTGCCATTTTATACACATATAAAATTATTCCTATTTTTTTACTGGAATGATTAATTAGTCTATTTTCATTCTTCCTTGTTTAACATGAAAAAATTAAAGCATTATATTTTTTTCTGTGTATTGGTCTGGCAGAATCTTACTGTGTTTAGTTCTGTGAATATAAGTTTGATTTTTAAACTTGACGTGAGTTAGATAGGAGAATCCCACCTCCTGTCACCTTATCAAAATTCCTAAGATTGACTCACAGGTCTAATATTGCTACCATCTTCTGATATGGTGAAATATATTTTAACTGAGTACCACATCTCAGCTGCTCTTGTAACTGTCTGTAAACATCTCACCAAGTTCCAAGAGGAGAGTTGAGGGACAATTCTGGGATGGTAAGGGATATGAACACTGACTGTGAAAGGAAGTCTTTGTCCTCCTCCTAATTTCTTAAACTGCAGATCTGAAGAAAGAAGGATCTGGACCTCCCTACCTAGATCCCAGGTGAAAACATCAGCTTCTGGAATGATCAAGTAGAAGTCCCGATCTCCAAGGAATTACAATATCTGCCCTGAAAATATATAAACTTTTTTTGTATTAGAGAAATTAACATCTTTCCCCTTAGGGGCCTTTATTTTAAGGCCCCACTTCAGCAGCTAAAATGATATTATAACTGATACAGTTACTAATTAATATTTTAGTTGCACTGCTACCAAGGAATATGAAATATATAAAATGTATGTCTTAGTTCTATATAGAAGGTATTAAGATAGCTTAGCTGTCTAAGAAATGATCAAGTTTTGTATTTCCTAATGTTTTTTGAATTTTCTATTACATGACTGTATGATGTTTTAGCATATATATATATACATATATATATATATGCATTCATACACACACATGTTATTCAAGGCACATTATTAGTCATTTACTACTTTCCATATCATGTTCTCTATAGAATACAACTGTATGATGTTTTAGCATATATATATATACATATATATATGCATTCATACACACACATGTTATTCAAGACACATTATTAGTCATTTACTACTTTCCATATCATGTTCTCTATAGAATACTGATGGGTTTCTATCAAAATAAAAAGGTTTTATGGTCCCTTTACTCTTTGCTTCCTGTTTTTATTGACAAGGTTAGAAACACAGACTGTGGACCAGGAATGAATACTATCTCTGTTTTCCAGTTGTTTCAATATTAAAACACATTGTTTCATGTTTCTGTTTTTCAGTTCCCATGTCAATGTAAAAGGGAGAACAATAGTACATATCCCTCAGGATTAATAGCATTGTAAAAATGAATACATGAAGGCTAAGCTCAGTCATGCTTAGCTGATGAGGGACATATACGATGCAATGCATGTAAGATTCGGTGAGTGTTAATGACGTATTGGTATCTGTTTAAGGTTGAGTGTCCTGGATTTCCCCAAGTTTATTTTATTGGAGATGCTTTGCTTATAGCTAAATGAAAAAAAAAAAAAGAATGCTGCACTGTATTGCTGTGTTCTGCTGTATTCAGAGAACTGCACCACAACACAGAATATGTAAAAGCTATTTAGGAGACCTTTGAACTACTTGATATGAAAACACATTGTATGTGCATATATGTATGTGTTTCTGAGGAGATGTACATAGAATGGAACTGATTTCAAAATTTCTCCACATGTAGTTTGTTTTTTTTAAATTATTTTAATTTATTTGTGTGGGTGTAGAAACACATGTTCCATAATAACAGTCAAATTGAGTCTGAGGATGCAGTGTGCTGCAGTTGATTTTATCCTTTTAATACATGGATACCAACAATCAAACTTGAGTCAGTCATCAGTCTTAGTTGCAAGCACCTTTACCTACTGAAACATTCACAGGTACTGCCCCAGATAAATTTTTAGGTGAAGTGATAAAACTGTGACTAAAATTCTTAAATATATCATTCTTTTCTTCTGTTCCTGGTTGGTTCACATTTTCCCTGCTGGTCACCATCACACATTTCATAGCACCAATGCATTTTTTCCTCCTTACATAATTGTTTCCTTACATTTCCCTCTTCTTCTAAGCATCTACCTTCTTCTTTCATTGAAACATTGTTTTTTCCACAGTTTTCCTCTTCTCTTTTGCAGGAAGCTGTTACGATAAATCTTTCTGCCACCCACTTGAGTTCTGCCTGCCACATGGATGGACAAAATAATACAGAGACTTATATTAGGTACAAATGCTGCTTGGCCAATGACTAGAATTTCTCATCTGCAGGCTCAGTCTTAATTATCATAAATCTATATATTTTATAAGACTTATCTTATTGGATGCCTTCTGTTGGGGTTCTCCCCCCTGGGATCACATGGTGGCTCTGAGCAGAGAGCAGGAGGAAGAGCAAGGGAAAAGGGACCACTTCCTGCTTGTCCTTGCTTAAATATAAGTCTCCCTGCTATGTCATTTCCTGCCGGGATCACTTCTTTACTACATTTCCTAGAATCCTCCTTGACTTCTAGTCCCATATAACTTGCTGCCTCATTGGGCAAACAGTACTTTATTCAACAATCAATAAGATGAACATACACAGAAGTACATTCCCCATCAGGAAGCAGTGCTTCCTTGCATACTTTTGTGAATATTAATTACTTCCTAGCATTTATGTCTGGTTTCTACAGCCTCTTGTTTTGCAAAGCAAAATCTGCTGCTATCTGAATCAGCTGCTGAATCCATTCCATCGATTTGGTTGTTATTTCATACATCAATTCTGGTCTTTA